CCCCGCCCCGCCCCACCTTGCTCTGCCCCAGGCCCCGCTGCGCCCTTCCTCCCTTTTCCCCCTCACTCCTCCGCTCAGTTTCTCTCCCCGTTCAGCCTTGCCCGCTCCGTCCCGTCCGACCCCGCCACGCCCCGAAGCACCACCGCGTCGTGCTCCGCACCGCGTCTTCAATTAGGCTTCGAGCTGGCACGTCCAATTGCGCTGCGCCGTAAAGTGTCGGCTGTTTTCGCGCCTATCTCACCCCCTCCCTCGACATTCCCAGCGCATCTCCCTGAGGCTTCTTCCCCGACCAGCCGCCGCCGGCTCCGCTGCCGAATTGCCTCCACAGTGTGTTGTTGCTTCATCCCCACTCCCGCCACCGCCATTGCCGTTGCCACTCCAAGCGTCGAGGTTGTACGTCATCTGTAACCTGCCACATGCCCTCCCCCTCCCCACCTAACCACCGCCTCCACCAAGGACTCTATTATCGCCTCCTCCAACTTTAGCACCGTTACATCCGCCCCTTCCGATACCATTACTGCCGTCGTCGATACTGCCACCGCCACAGTCTCGATTCCATCATCTCACTCAGCATCGTCATTGTCAGCCTCGCCTACGCCCCCCCCCGAAATAGACTTCTGCTGCCATTACCTGTTCTGATGCCCTTAACCCTGTTCCCGTGAAGTTTACTACTGTCCTAGTCAACGCTGACATTTTTACTTCTATGTCATCAATTGTCGAAGTCGTTATTTTTGATTCTTCACCACGATTGAAATCATTGCCATTGATCGTAACTTTGACCAACGTTTCTATCACGCGCTTCCACTTATATCTTTACATCCATCCCTGCCAAACACATTTATATACAAGCACTATTATTTGAAATAATAAAAATCTCTTCTATCGCTACGATTGAAACTTTATCTTCACCTACAATAAACCATAACTTTCAGCATTGTCTCTACAGTTTCATTTACCACTACCTTCCAATAGATGCTTGTACCACCAATCGTCACCAACGCCGTCGCACTCGTGCTTCTAGGAACATCAGCGCCTCACATTCGCATCACCACTCTTGTAACCATTAACATCGTCACACACCATATATTTACCGTTTTCTATGCAATACATCTCGGTTGACTTCTATATTCTTTACAACTTATCACCAGTATACGAAACTAACAACACAGTATAACTGCTAACACAAAATCAACCAAGACATCCAGCACTACCGACATTTCCCCCATTCCTCCTAGCACTATAACTACCCCCATCACTATCCTTATATCTACCGTTATCATTGCAGCTATTTCTACTATTATCACTGTTACTAGCATTAACGCTATCGTTAATGCCATCATTAGGGAGCTTGTACACCCTCAAACGTTACAACAAAATCGATCTTCTGCGCATGCGCAGTTGGAGTTTCGCATCACTGTAGTGCATCTGCTCATGTGCAGAAATTTAATAGTGCTGCCCGTTATGGCGTGCACAAACTCCCTATAATAGCGTTTGTTACCTCTATCACACCTCTAACATTACAACTATCGCTATTACTTCCACTTCCATTAACATAACCACTGTCCCTATCACTACAACTACCTCTACTACCACCAGAATCGCGGCCGTCCCCACCACCATCACGATGGCGACGACCGTGCGCCTCCTTCACTCCCAACTCCACCCCCGGCATCACTCCCACCCCTCCCACCGCGCCCAGAGCCACCACAAGCGCCGCCGCCGAGTGTTGCGAATAATAATATCAAGGGGCATTTAACTCGCAACGAGGCAAGAGGGAAATTTCATTCAGAAAAGTGAGCGGCGCGGCGCTTCGCGGCGCTGTGGGAGGGGGCGGCTAAGGGGCTGGCGTGTGAAGTTCGCGAGTGCTTATATCGGAAATGAGCGGCGTCCTGCCAGTCTGGCGTCGCGGCGCAATCAAGGAGGGCGTCTGGGGAAGCAGCGAATCGCACGCGGCCGCGCACAGTGAGTCCGGGGCCTGCGCAGAGGTCAGAAAATAAAAATAAATTAAAAAAAGAGATGCGAATTCAAGAACTTATTTTCAAAGTGTTGTCATTCCAAGAAATAGTTTTCTAGAGGAAAGTATTGAAGTTCTGCATTATTATTTAAGATAAGATTGAATGGTTTTCGGACACTGTTTAACTTTAAAAAAATACTATTTTGGAACAAAATAATTGGCAGCATGATGGAAAATAGTCTTAAGATCATACTGATACGCAAAACTAGAAAACAAAAAATGTAGATAAGTTACTTCTTCAATTGGATTTACCAAAACCGAAGAACTTCTTTTCCTTCTGATGTCTTCGAGATGTTGCGGAGGACTGCGTGTTCAAATCCCACTTGGGCATGATGTGTACTGTTGTTTCGAAGGATGGTGGATTCTACCTCCCACTTTTGATCACCTTTCCGCACTTAATCCGTCATTTCTGACCTGTCTGGGTGGCGTAGGAGCATGATATACGAGAAATGTACACAATGTACCCGATCAGTGTCGTTTCCTTCTGCCTGACTCTCCGTCGGTAACAGTGTAGGACCGATGCCGCCAGACTGTGTTCAGTGCTGTCTCTGGGCTACAGGTGGCGCTACCTATCTGCGGCCAGGAGTCCCCATATTGAGCTAATTGCGGGCCAAGCTGATGGGGCCGCGGGCCACTCGCGTAAGATACATGGCCACCCCTGTAAGGTATAAAACAAGAAACGCTGGATGTAAGGGCCCTCAGTCCACTTCAGATGGATAGGGGGATTTTGGAAAGTACGG